GGAGTCATCAATGGGTTTCATTGTGGCCACGTGAACAGTCAGGCACTCCCCAACCCACAGTCACCTGTGCTCTGTCAAAGTATTCGCAATTGCATGGCACAGATGAAAGGGATAGGGTTGCGCTCTGCGTGTCAACCACTGTCCTGCACTGTCCTTGCCTACCAAAACAATGTGTTTGCGATTTGAAAATGAACAACGCCCATGCTGTGGCACACACTCGCGCGCTAAGTGAAGGAGAGAGAAGGGTCCCCCAAAGAGGATTCCAGTTGCTTTGCGCCAGGGCATGTGATAAGCACAAAAGTCAATTCGCATGAGAGTGAATCGATCGGCAAGTTGTTTCAGGTATGGTGTTAGCCAGATTCGGCTAGACCAGGGGTTCTCAATCGCCCAACACAAGTTCAAAGCAATGCATGTGGAGATGATTTGTTCAGACACACTGAGAAGGCTGTTGCCATCTTGTATTTTGCGTTTGTCTGAAAAACTCAAGTCATCAAAGCCAAATAAATTCTGCTCATCATCTCTCAGAGGGGGGGGACCCCCATCATGCTTTCTAGCTCTGCTTCAGGTTGTGCAAGGGGTTCCCAACCATACCATAGCTATAGAGCCCTGATGTTTGTGCAAGAAACGAAGGATTCGGTGTAAAACAGCTGGTTGTAAAACGTCGCAAGCTGTGCCGTAGGCAATATCATAGGCTATGGAGATGAAACCCACGGCTGAACAAGCTTGTGACAAACGCGCGCAACCACTGAAAATTTCTAGCGCAAATTTCTGAACCCCAAGCTGTTGTGAAGGCCGAAAAATCTTGGGGCCTCCTTTGGAAGCATCTGCTCTGCCAGCTGCGACTTTCTCTGCGCGGCTGCCGGGAGGTCGTTGAACTCCTGGTTCAGGCGCGCATGCGCCTCGTATCTCCGCACTGAGCTGTCTGCTTGCCAACGCCCTCTCTGCTTCACCTCGCTTAGCGGGCGTAGCTTGTAGAACCTGTCGTGCGAAGGTCCTGAGTGACGGAGTTGGTAGAGCACTGCGTGACTCTTCGGAAGTCCTATCGCCTTGAGTGCTGCCTGCCAGGACTGAACCAAATCGTAGTAGGTGATGTCGAGGAGGAAGGCTCCCGGAGAATTGAGACTTCTGAGGGCTGGACCGATCCATGGCAGGAGAGGAGAGTCCAGCAGGATGCTTTCGTCCGCTAGGCCCACCTTGGACCGTTCTTGCCGCTCTGCTGGATGCAACAAAAGGGACCAATGCTTCTGTCGAGGCATGGGGTTGACCAAGTCTGCTTTTCTCAGGTGCAGAACCTCGCCCGGGCGAAGGTAGGCGGTGAAGCTGAGGAGAACTGCTGCTGCTGAGTGTGTTCTGTGTTGCTTCAACATCTGCATGACCAGAGCCGCCAACAACGGCCACGGCAGAGGTGGTCGAGTCCTCTGGGGTTCCAGCTTCAGCCATCCCTGCAGTGATCGCCGGGTGCGCGCAAGAGTGTGCTTCTGGCCACAACCTGGGAACATGTCGCATGTTGCGGCGAGGAACTTTGTGCCCTCGGCGAGCTCTAATCCTTGATCGAACATGTGATTCACGTAAGAGTTGCAAACCTCGTCCAATCTCTTGTAATCCCTCGCCAGGGTCTTCTGTGAGACTTTTTGGGCTCGGGCAAATTGGAGAAAGCCCTGCATTCGTCGCCGATAGTCTTCGGCCACCAGTCTTGACACTGCCATCTGCTCCAAAAATGTCTGTCCTTGAAACCTCTGCGGGGTCTGATTCTCTTGTTTCGCCTGCGAGCGGTTCTGCTTCCGATCGTCCCGGGTCTTGATCAGCCGTCTTTGAGGTGACTGCCTTTGGCTTTTCTGTGTCTGGTTGGACTTTGTCTCGGGAAGGAGGATTCCAGGTTGAGGTGTAGGGGGCGTCTTCCTTTTCTGTCCCCGCGCCTCCTGGGCTAAAAGCATGCTTTCTCAAATGCTCCCACTGTCGGGAAGCCTGATCAGCCACATTCCTTTCACTCGGCACCCATCGCACTTGAAGGAAACTGCCCAATAGACCAGGTTAGACAAAAAATTGTCTAATAGACAACTTTCTTAAAATTTGTCTATTAGATAAATTTTTGTGATTTGTCTTAGACAACTTTATGTGACGAAAAGTTATCTAATAGACAAAACAAAAGTTGTCTAATAGACAAAAATCTGCTGTCTTAGACAAATTTTCGTGGCTGCAAACGAGGAAATTTCAAGGAAATTTCCTCGAAACTACCTCGTCTGTTTTTCAAAACTTCCTTCAAACTTCCTTTCTTTTTGTGGCAGTTTGGAGGTAGTTTGATGGAAGTTTGTAGGCAGTTTCAACCTGCAAGTGTGGAAGTTTGTCATGCACATGGGCTGAAACTGCAATAATATGCAAATTTTGTAACATAAACTTCCTGATGCC